TCTCCCTTTCTTCCTCTCCTCCTTTCTTTTCTCTGACTCTCTCTGTCTCTCTTCCCATGCGCTCCGCTTCTGACTGCTAACACGAAACGGTTCACCTCATCCCCTCTTTCTCTGACACATTTCCCCGCTCTCACGCTTTTATTGGTCTTTTTATGGGGGCTTTCAGAAGATATTAGCGTCTGCTCTGTTTTATAGCGTTGAATGTGGCAGCGTTTTAACATTCTACAAGGCAGGAACCTTCTCTCTCAGGTGAGCCGAGACACAACAGTGACCTCAGTGGGAGAGAGAGAAAGAGAGAGAGTGTGTGCTAGAAAGAGCTTTCTGCACTCTCGTCATAACATTCATCCAGGTCTGTCCACACTATGACAATGTGGGCGATGATCAATGGTAATTACATCATGATTAGGCCTGCCATGGTCATGAAATTGTAGCATTTTAGCTGATGGTTAATCAGCATATCAATAATTCAATTGAGCTTTTTTTTTTTTTACTAACTTTCTCATCAGTTTCCACTTATTTCCAGTTCCATCTGCCAGCTAGGTCTCCTCTATCACATGACACTACCAGGCTGAGAGGGTGAGGCTGCCATGTGCTTCTTTTAAAACACAGAAAGTGCTACCACACCTCATCGGTGGCTGCAATTAACAATTAATTTTTTTTTGTTCATTGTATGACACTAAAGACTTATAAGTCTGAAGTGGCCAAATTTCAGGGTCGTTGCTATGGTATTCCAGGTGGTTGCTAACATATGTGTATATATCACTGTTGTCGGAAGAAAACCTCATAAAATGATAACTTTACAGGAGAAGGAAAAAACCTACTTTACTTTTAATGTAAGTCAATGGAACCAGACTTTTTTACAAGTCGTTTTGGGCCGTTTCTTTTGGTCTTTTCTTCATTAAATTTACACACAATGTAATGAGCAACAGGTATTTTCAAATTATGTCAAAAACTGAAAAACAACAAAAATGGACGTGAGGTTTTCTTCCGACTGCAGCGATATATAGTTGTTTGTAAATGTGTAATGTAAGGGCGACAGCCCTGTGATGGACTGGCAACCTGTCCAGGGTGTATCCTGCCTTCCGCTCCAGCACACTGACACCCCCCCCTCCCGTGACCCAGAAGGATAAGTGGCTTAGAAAATGTGGGTGTGTTTTAGTACCTACTTGTTAAGAACATAGGCACTTTACATGACATGCATAAATATTAAATGAAGTATGTAAAGGCCACAGCCTTTTAATTAGGCCTTTTTATTAGTGTTACTACTTGGGAATAATGCTTCATAATAGTGAAATAAATGGAACAAATGTCAGTTCAGTTTAACACCCTTTGTATCATTACTTTGTCATTCAGTTTTTAAAGCATGTTACATCACCTGGCATAATCCGTTTACAAATATTATAGGACTGCTTTATAAATCTGTTTTTCAATGCTTATGCCTATGTTGTGAAGTCTCTATGTATGTAGCCTTCAGATTACCCCTATTTTACTGGTGCATTCATAAACTTGGACTATCGTAATACCTATCGTATATCATGAATATGGCATCAAGTATAGTAATGTTATATTTTCACCACTCTTAACTAGAGCTCTGGATTGCTAATTAGCCTAAGAAACACACATAATGCAGGCTCATTTGCTCTTCTTGCTCCACTAAAACAATATGTGGTGAATTATTAAATAAACAAGGCCTTCCAACTGCCATTCTAGAGGTGTAACAGCAACCTTTCTAACATTCCCTATAGCCAGCCATGACATTTATTTCAACGCATTCATTAGCCATAGGAGCTATTATTAGTTGGTGTACTTTGAGGGAGATTACCTAATGATGTGACGTGCCAGGATTAAAAAAAAAAAAAAATGAAATAAAATAACAGCAGCTGCGAGTTCAAATCCGAAAACCTGAACCGGTCGACATATTGATCTGATTTTGTAATTCTGTCTTTAATACCCGGCCCTCGTGTGAATGAGCGCAGGGGCCGTGCTGGGCTGAGGCTGTTCCACTGCTTGCTCGGGCTTTGCGTAAGGCCTTTGTTTTGCATTCAGGAGGTGTTTAGTGTGTTTTATGCTCAAAAAGGTCAGAGAGGAAATACGTGCCGGTGTTCAGCATTCTGAAGGCTTTTGATCTAGCGCAGCACACCGGCAGAGCAAGACCTGTTTTTACTCAAACATGCACACAGTTCCTTTTCATGGCCTGCTTAAGCTCATATTAATGCTGACACTCAAGGGTTGTTTTGGGTCCCAATTATAATATAAAGTATCATGACTGCAGTTAGAAAAATGAACCCAAAATTTTAACTTTATAGCAGAAGGAAAAATGTTCTTAACTTTAATGCTCATTATAGTATTTGAACGTCATTTTGGACCATTTGTTTTGGTCGAATCCTTGTGTTACAGTGCACAGTGCTGTGAAAAGCCTTTCATTTATCTAATTTGCAGTCAAAACAGCCATCAAGTACAGTCATTTTTCAGTAACGATTAGATACAATATACTTGCATAAGGAAGAGGAAAGTCAACTGAAAATAAGTGAAACAAACCAGAGTTTCCAAAACTGGGGTGAAAATGGGACCCCTAACAACTATGCAAGACTTGGTAGACCACCAAATCAAATAAACAATCAAATAAAAAGCACTTTGAGAGTTAAAAGAATATCAAGCTTCACTCATGCTGCAGATGTTCTCAGAACAATGGACTGACCACCTCAGAGTCCAGACACACACTAAATACTGAAAAAAACTGATATTGTATTTAGTTTTTGAGGCTTCTGTGTAATTTTCTATTGTCCAAAAGGGCCTTTTTACTGGAAATTAAATGAACAAAGGGTCATATCTGACATTTGCGCAACACTGCATAATAATATAACTATAATATGTTTCCTCTGAATATTTCACTTAACACTGCCAGTACTGACGTCCTTGCCATTCATCTCACTCCATCATTAACCTCCTGTTTACCCTGGTCTTTCTCTCCCTCTATCCGTCCTCCTTTTTTCTCTTGTAGACAGAGTCATGTATTTGTCTTTTTACCCAATCACACTCTTCCTCTAAGATGAGTACAAGGACAAAATCTTCAGCTTTATTACTGAAGCCTTCTTCTTTTCACCTTTTCACTCGTATTTTGTAACAGTGAGCACAATTTTTTTTTTTTATTATTATTTGGATGAGACCAAGTGATTAAATGTAAACAGCTATTACGTCTACATGTTTTCTTTCATCATCCTTAGCTCATCTCATGCATCCTGTTACTTCAAGATATACAGAAGTGTCACCTCTTAATGAGCCAAGCAAGACAGTGTGTGTGTGTGTGTGTGTGTAGACACATATTTGTATTACTGTCTTTGTGGGGACTTTCATTGACTTGTGTATTGCTGTAGCTCAGTAATGCTACACGTAACCCTAACCTTAAGTTGAGCCTCTACAGGTGAACAGTTGAATACTGACCTTCTTAGAAGGTGTTTTATGAATTCACATATGCAAATGAGGTGGTGTCTACTTAAATATGCAGACATTTGCATATTTATATAAAAACAAAAATCTACTTTTTGGATGGTGTTAGAATTAAACTGAGAAAACCAAACACTGTGCACTGCTATTCTAAAATGTGTATAATATAGCATAAATCCAGTTATGAGTAACATATTATGAGGTACTTTTGTAATTTCCTTTAGAATAGGGTTAGGAGTGAACATGTACAATTTCATGAATGCAGACATTCTGGTAGCTGTCGAATTAAAGTATTCTAAAGATTTTGCTTCTGACTGTAAAGAAAAACAGATTTAGAGAATAAGCCTAAAGCAGTATAACCCAGTGAGATCTCAGAAAACATACATCGTTTGTGTGAATGTAGTTATTAGTTATAAGGAATTAGACATATATGGATATTCTAGTTAGATTCTACAGGAAACAGGCTTTTTTAGTGATATATACCAGTATATGGTTGTGCTGAGTGTGGGCAGAGCTAATCCTTAAGTAAAATCGATAACTCTTGGAAAACATAATTAGACTTGAGTTGCTACCAATTGACTAAACATGTTGAAATAAACATATTTCTGTTGAGTTTTACCATTTCTATGATTCAGGAACCAAAAGGCAATTTTTTGGCTCTTTAGCTTTTACAAAAAAAGTGTGATTTCTCTTTAGGACCATCAGATTTTTCAAACTTTTTGATTAACTTTTTGATGTGGTTCTACAAAAACAGTCACTCATTGTGCCATATCAGTTGCTTGGGCCCCAGTCAGGCGGGCTAAGACATACTAAATCTGCTGTATGTTTATTGTTGTTGCTAATGTTGTTGATGTACAGAAATCTGTTCAGCTGTTGAACTGTGTTTAATAAAGTATGCTTTGAAGCACAAATAATCAAAACTTCATTCTGCCTCTTACCTTCTTCCAAAAAGTTTTAATCTCTATTAAAAGAAAAAACCTTTCTCAGTGGGCTTTTATTATTCAGCAGCATTTGGTGAAATCATTAAAAAAATACTCCAGCATTGTAAAACCTAATCTCTGCATCTGTTTCATACAGTGGACCACATATTTACCGCAATAATGTCAATGCATTTCCCCGTTCTTAGAAAAGAACAGAAAATCTGTTGACTGGAAACTCACTTATAACAGAAGCCAATGGACAGTTCATGAATAAGTTGTGGCCACAACTTAATTATCTTGTTCCCACTCCTTACTAAGTTGTGGCCACACATTAATTTTATTTATACAGGATGTCACCTGCAGGGCTCCGTGGAGAAATCAGCAACTGCCCAGTGGCTTCTATTATAAGTGAATTTCAGCTCAACAGCTTTTTACTTCTTCTCTAAGTCCAGGGATATTATTTTCAAAATTGTTATCCATGATAATCGACCATATGCTTCATATGTGGTAGATAGAGATTATGTTGAAAAAAAAGGTTGCAATGTTCTTTTAACTGCAAGAGTTCAGTGACCAGGTCTGGCCTCGTATAAGCTCTGTTAGAGTAAACCCCTCTTTCCTTTATCTCTGTCTCTCCAGTATAAGCAGGTGGAGCAGTATATGTCCTTCCATAAGCTGCCCGCAGACATGCGACAGAGAATCCATGATTATTACGAGCACCGGTACCAGGGCAAGATGTTCGATGAGGAGAGCATCCTGGGGGAGCTGAACGAGCCGCTCAGGGAGGTGAGCATGGACAGATGGAGAGCAGATAAAACCCTAAGCGAATAATCTCTCCCGTGTGCGGGAGGGTGCGGTGATATTCAGCACCACGGTTTATGGCTTCTAGTTGACATTTTTGTATGATGATTGCTGGACATAATTCAATTGATGAAATATGAGGAATGACAAACAAAATGCAGATATCATGGTTTTCTTATCAGCTGGAAATATGTTAATGCATAACATAGACTAGTGATATTCATAGAAGAGACATTGTACTGTAGTAGTGGTGCTAAACACCTTTAAAAGGAGAGTTCTTCAGGTTCTTTAGTAAAGACAGTAGTTATATATAGAATCATGGCAACCAAAAGAACCATTTGAATGCTTTAATATTTCTTTGCATGTTTGAAAGGTTCTTCAGCATGAACAATAATTTGTTGTATATGTTTCTTTGAAGAACGTTTTAAAGATGGCTCTATATAGCACTAAAAAGGGTTCCACTATAGAACCCTTTGGCATTATATAGAACCGTAGCATAGTTTAGTTTTAATCATTTGAGGAAAATGTCTTTTAGAATGTAGTTTATTTTAGTAATTTAGAATTTAGTAATATAATATTGGTGTTAGTCTATTTCATTCTGACTAAAACGGTATACAGTTTGAGTTTGATGAAAATTATATTTTCACTGAAATTGTGCACATTAGACTAAAGAAGTTGCTGTAAAACAATATGCAAAATACAACAAGTTGGGACACTGTGCAAAATGTAAATAAAAAAGAATGCAATTATGTGCAAATCATATAAACCCTATATTTCATTGAACATAGTACAAAGACAACATATCAAATGTTTAAACTGTGAAATTGTATTGTTTTTTGAAAAATATACGCCCGTTTTGAATTTGATACCAGTAACACTTTTCCAAAAAGCTGGAACAGGGGCAACAATAACTGGTAAAATTGGACAATGGACAATGGCAATTCAGGTGCATCAATTATGAAATGTTGTAATCAGTGTTAATCTACAATAATAGTATTCAATAAAGTATGCACTAATTTTTCAGCCAATATAAGAATATCAGTCCAGTTAAAAACACACAAATCCAAAACAATAATAAAACAAAGCTGCAAATTAATGATTAATCACGTTATTTTCTCACCGTTCATTTATTAGTTAATTAAGCATTATGTATTGCTTAGTAACTGATTGAGATGTAAAGTGTTACCAAATAATCTAATCAAATTTAATGGAGTTGCGGCAAACTGTGAGCTTTCATGAAACATTGAATTGTTTCCTAAAGACCTGTAAACAAATCAAATCACTGAGAGAGTTACACTCCTAAACTGCAGAAAAATGAAAAGGCATGATGTCATATTTACTCTAACATGACTGGCTCTTGTTTTGCAGGAAATAATAAACTTCAACTGTCGGAAGCTGGTGGCTTCGATGCCTCTGTTTGCCAACGCCGACCCTAACTTTGTGACGTCGATGCTGACGAAGCTTCGGTTTGAGGTGTTCCAGCCTGGAGACTACATCATCCGAGAGGGCACCATCGGGAAGAAGATGTATTTCATCCAACACGGAGTGGTCAGCGTTCTCACCAAAGGCAACAAGGAGACCAAACTATCAGACGGCTCCTACTTTGGAGGTGAGGAAGCGTTCAGTGCAACAACAGTATCACACATATTCACAAGTACATTATTCTGCAGAGTTTAATGCCTTTTCAAGCATTTATGCTCATAATGGTGGCTTGGTCAAAGCAGCAGTGTGGGAAATTAGCTCTATTACAGGTCAGCCCAGGTTGCTTTTAGTTGGAGTGTTTGATTTTGTCACAGCTGTGTTTTTTTTTTGTTTGTTTTTGGGAGACACTTCAAATAACAAGCACTCATCAAAATTCCAACAGTTGCAAAACAAAAAGCTTCATCTAACTTTAATGTTGCTGACAAAACACAGGGATCGCGGTAAATCTCAGGTGCTGTTTTGGTCTTTCCCAGGTTTGTTTATGAATGATTTATGCAAGCTAGTGTTGTTTTCTGTTGTGACACAAGCATTGATTTTAGATTGTTTGGATAATGTAAGACCTGACACATAATACTAACAGTTCTACTAACCGTTATGTGCACTGAAAAAGGTGATGCATTGAATTTAGTTGTACATCATTTCCACATGGATAAAATATATTACATCAACACGGTTTCATCTTTCAGTTCACCTACTTTTCACAATGATTGTTATGATGTAATCTGTTTATTCAGATGGAATTGAAGCTCACATAAATTCATTTCTCCACTTTTATGATGTACACATTTGAACGCTGATGAAGTGGTATATACATGGGTTTACTGCATATGTCCTCCTCCTCTATACACACCGCAACATAGCCAGATGTAGATTGGTCTTTGTGGTTTTGTGCTTGATTTTAATGTGACCATGACCACAGAGAGCAAAGACACATTCGTCTAATCACAAGTTATATAACCAGCCAATAACCTTTTAAGTGTTATTATGTCTTCTGCCATTCTTTTTCTTGCTATTGTGCTCTGCAGTCACTGATAATACTTGATAATATAAGGTTAGTGAAGGTAATATATTACCTGCCCTGTTTTAGTCTAATACATCAGCTTTGAGATCCATTATATGATTTTATTCTCACATATTTTAATCCTTTTGATGAGTTTTCAACATGCACAGTTGATATATAGGTGAATGCTATTTAACGTGGATGTTATTTTCATGCCAATATAGTGGATTATGTATTATATTCATGTCCTTGTTTTACACAAGACTTTTAGCCCAGGTTTACGTCCATTAGTTGTGGGGTATATTAGAAAATGGAGTATCTTCGAAGGGACCATATCAGTTAATAATCAACATAGGGGGAGAAATTGCCGTATACAAGTTGATAATTAGGATCTTTTTTTTTTTGGTCGTGGCATAATTGGGATTCAAACTCATATGATATGAGGCACTATATAATAGATACAGTAATTTATATAATGTTCCCCCCTATAATAATACAGGCTAAACTGGTGAATCAGAACACAAAACACAACCATGGTAATTACAAAGTATATAAAATGTATCCATATTTAGCATGAGAATGACGTTATAACAATGTTATTCTGACTATAACTAATGACAAGTAAATAAGAGGTATTAAACAAAACAAAAGTATTCTTACATATTTACATTATTAAGACTGAGGTAATTTTTGACTGAGAATTGACAATCCAATCAGTAGTAAAGCACTTGTTAAAGCTACACTAGGTAAGATTTGGAGCTTTGAGACCATCCTGGTGGAAGAACATTTTGTAACATCAGTTATGCATCAGGCACCATCGTGTGAGTGAATGTGCAACAGAAGTACATCAGTAGTGTCTCACAGGAGGTCGAATGTCAGAGGCTTCCTCAGTGCCTCTCTGTGGGTGATCGTCCTCTGCTCTGAATATGAGCCTGTCATGTTATCTTAACTTACTCCCCAAATGCCCTTCCATTTACAGACTGACAGTATATGGTTTAGGCTTCTGTGTTTAAGTAATGGGAACAGCCACAGAGTCGTTTATCTGCATGTGACCCTCCGCTCCGGCGTTAATTACTGCCAGTGTTCACCATGCAGGGCCCCTGGCCTCTCTCTGCAGGAGCCCACCCCAAATAATGAAAAGATGGCAAGCAATCTATCTCTGAGTGTGCCACAGTTAATCAACACTTCACACATGCGGCCTTCTCCCATTCCAGCTAGCTGTCTCTAGCCCATCACTGGCAGCCATATTGGCCAGAAACAGACAGAGAGGCAGGCAGAAAGACACATAGACACTCTTATAAAGTCTAAGGTTCCTAAATGGTTCTTGGCTTGGATGTATGGTCCAAAGAGAGACTTTTAATTAGGATGGAACATTTACATTATGTGTCTTTGTTTTTTTTTATCTTTAAAAATGTTCTACATTCTCGTAGACGTCATTTGGAAACTGACAGTACCATTTAAAAGTTTGGAATCGTTGCTTTCAGTGCTATAAAACTAATTCTGTTGTAGAATCATGTAAAAAATGATGTTGATATGATGTTATTACTCTACAGCTTCATAGGTTTCTGTAGGTTTCTGTAAATATCAAGAAATTTTAAATGCATCCAAAACATGAACAGAGCTGTAGATTCTATAATCTGAAACCTGCGCAGCATTGAGAATGAAGTCATAACCTCCAGAATCCATCCAGTAGTTCTGGGATGAGTTGGAGTGGAGTTTGCAATAGTGAACTAATCTTCCAGCATCAGTGCTTAATTTCACTAATGCTGTTACTGCAGCAAAGGGAGACAAACTTCCTATTAATACCCTTAATTTCAGAAGAAACCACAAAACTGTTGGGCATACCGTGCGTCACTTAAGAGGTCTATTATCAATATTTTAATTTCATCAGACTTTGGATGCTATGATCAGGGCTAAAATAGAACCTTATCTGTACAAAAAAAAAAAAACACAAACTTCATCTATACAGTGGTATTTGTGAACCCTTTAGAACTTTCTAGATTGCTGCATAAATTTTACCTAAAACTTCTACTGCATCATTTTCCAATATATAAATGGCCAAGTCTGATATTTTTGTCTCATTTGTTTCATTTGGTTCTCTTTTTCTATGTTTAAGACTTGTGTGAAAATCTGAAATTTTAGGTCAAATCTATGCAGAAATATAGAAAATTCTAAAGGGTTCACAAACTTTCAAGCACCACTTTAGCACTGTCCTGTGCTAAAAGCATACCGTATTCTTTAATATTTATAAAACATATTTTTCTTTCTATGTACACTGTTATTACAATATCAGATAAAATGATTGTTAATGTAACTATGAAAGTGATTCCAGTTTTTTAATTGTGCCATATTCTATAATGCATATACAGTGCATAGTGACAGTGCATTGCAAGTGCATTGCATCACTACTATTTGATATTTTTTTTGTTTTATTTTTTACAAAATTTTAAAATGCAATTTGCTCTTTACAATATGTTAAAATTTTGGGGGAAATGGATACATAGTAATGCTCCACAATTATTCACAGTGAACAGATCATTACTGTGAAATGGTAACTACTTATAGAAAGAAGAGAAGAGAAAACATGAACATTTAACATTATATATTCCAAACAATGTTAATTTTAAGTAATGTTTAGAGTTAGAAGGTTTTCTTATGGCAGTGCTGCTAGACAGACAGATGCTTGTGGTTGTTTAGCTGTGTTTAAGTGTGACTTCGCCACATGTCTGAATAGGATCAGCTGACACGCTAAATGCGCCACTTTGGAGCCATGTGCCCTCGCTCACATTATCTTTAAGCCCTGGATCTGCAATTATTTCCCAAACGCATTAAATGCACTGGAGCTTTGCGGTGGCGCTGGCCTTTCGCCTGTTATCAGGCTGTTCTATTCCTGGCACCAGTGCAGTGCTGGGAGAGCTGGGAGAGAGGCAGGAGCTGTGGGGAATTTGTTACCAAACAGGAGTTAGCCACTCATGAAATTAATTTATATAACGCCTGTGTGTGTGTGTTTGTGTGTGTGTGCGTGTGTGTGTGTGTGTGTTTGTGTGTGTGTGTGTGTGTGTGCGAAGAGGGGATGTGACAAGTTAAACAGGGTCGGTGCACTCTCTGTGTCTCCCTGAGACCCTCCATTACACAAATGAGGAACTGAGGACACACATACATATCATGATCAGGATTCTTCACTGTAGGAGTTCACTGTAGATTATGCTGTGATGGATGTGAGTGTCCATATGTGATTTGTGCAACACAGTGTGTGTGTGTGTGTGTGTGTGTGTGTGTGTGTGTGTGTGTGTGTGTGGCTCAGTGTGTTTGTTTCTTCATGGAGAACATTCAGAGTTCTTCCTTCATCTTTCTGGATATCAATGATTTAAAAGCACATGCATGGTTTAAAATACATGGTGTGGATTATACAGCATTACAGAGATGCTGTTTATAGAGTTTTGCCACCATGACACTGCATGAATGAGCATTAGGTAAGAAAAAAGAGAGGGTACTAGAAGAGAAGCAAAGGAAAGGAAAGGAAGCAATAAAAAGAAAGGGAATGGGAAGTATATGAATGGAAAGAAAAGTAAGAGAAGGGAAGATATTTGAAAGGAGAAAGGAAAATAAGACATGAAAGAGATGTGACAGGAAAAGACTGAAAAGGAAAGGATGGGAATTTAAGAGAACGTGAAAAGGTGGGAAGGTGTAGAGGGAAAAGAAAGAGAAGGAAGTGAAAAGAAAAGAATGGAATGGAAGGGATGTGAAGGGAAAGGAAAGGAATGTAGGGTAAGGAATGGGAAAAGACAAGAAGGGAAGGGAAGGAAAGGGATGAAATGGGAAGGGAAGGAGTGTGAAGAGAAAGGAGTGAAAGAAGAAGAAACAAATTGGAATTGGAGAGGTAAAGATGTGAAGGGAAAGGTGAGAAGATGAGAAGACAAAGAAAGAGAGAAGAAAGGAGTGTAAGGGAAGGGAGGGAAAGGAAGAGAAAATAAGAAAAGGAAAGAGATGTAAAAAGAAAAAGAACATAAAAGAAAGGATAGGAGTTAATGGAAGGAATGTAAAGAGAAAGGAAAGGAAAAGAAAGGATAGGAAAGGAAGAGAAGCGTAGAGATGTGAAAGAAAATGAAAGGAAAGGAATGGGAAGA